AAAAAGAATAAAAAAGAAAACACATTAACTGAATAAATGATAAATAATTAGTACAATTATGTGAATATTAAGAACAGGATATGAGCGCAAAAAAAAAAAAAAAAAAAAAAAAAAAAAATATACATATGGCTTATTTGGAAATCAAAGTACAATATATGGTGTAGATTATTGTTAAATAAAGTATTACTTTTCTATTTTGTTCATTTTTTTTTTTTTTTTTTTTTATAAGGCACTTTTAATAATATCAACAAACGTATCTTTTAAGGAAGCATTACCTACTAAGAATCCATCTATATCTTCTTGTTTAATTAAGGAAGCACAATTTTCTGTATTTACACTTCCTCCATATAAAATTCTTATCTGTTTTGATTGCTTTTCTCCACAGTTTTCTTTTACAATATTTCTAATTTCCTTATGAACATTCTGAGCTTGTTCAGGTGTTGCTGTTTTTCCTGTTCCTATAGCCCATAATGGCTCATATGCTAATATTACATTATCAAAATTTTGAATTAAATCTATAAAAGCTTTTACTTGTGTTTTTATTACATCAATAGTTTTGTTTTGTTCTCTTTCTTCTAGTGATTCACCAAAACATACAACTGCTTTTAAATTATTTTTTAAACATTGTTGTAACTTTTCTCTAACATCCTCATCTTTTTCAAAAAAATATTTTCTTCTTTCAAAATGTCCAATTATTACATACTCTACATTCATATCTTTTGCTATTTCTGCACTTATTTCACCTGTGTATGACCCATTACCATACTTTGATGTATTTTGTATACCCATGGAAAATTTTTTATCTAACAATTTTCTAGTATATTCATAATGAACAGATACAGGAAATATAACCACATCTAAAAAATTTTAAAAATTTGCATTTGTTTTATAATCAATTTAAATATTTCAAACATGTAAATATTAAGTAAACATAACAGTTAATAATATATAGATGCCTTATACATTACTTATATATTTAATTATTTTTGTACTTTCTTTTTTTAAATTAGAGCATTTATGAGAATTATTAAATGATACATATATAATATTATAATACATTAATTTCTTATTTTTGTTGTTTTTAAGGAGTAAATATATATTATATTAACAACATAAGAAAATTTTATTATTCTTTTTACTTTATTAATTTCACATAATTATTTGTATATAAGAATTTGTACCTATTTTATTTGGGTCAAAATTCAATTTGTTAAAATTTTCTATTAATGCTTTTATACTCTTTTGAGTTCCATTACATTTCCAATTTGCAGCTACAAAATATTTTCTACTCATTTTCAAATAATCCTAATATAAAAATTTTGAAAATTTTTGTAAAATTTTTAAAATTAATTTATTTTGCTTATATTATATTTCTCAAAAAAAAAAAAAATAATAAATTTATAATTATATATAATAAATATTTATATATATATATGATATATTTAAGATTCATAAATATTAATATAAAAATATAATATTTATTACATTAAATAGTAAAAAAAAAATATATATATAAAATAAAATATAATAAAAAATACATTAATTCCAAGACATCATATATAAGTAGAATTTTTTTTTTTTTTATTTTTAATTATTAAAATTATTTCGTGAATTTTTTAACAATATAATATTAGAGTTTTTTTTTTTCTTTTTTTTTTTTAATTATAACATTATATCTTTATATCTTATTATTTTATATTCCATGTAACATTTTTTTTTATTTTTTTTATATTTCATATATAATTTTATTTAATAAGTTAAAGATTTACTGTTATAATAAATCTCTCTATATATATTTATATATATAATATGTTTTCTTCATAAAAAGTATAATAAAATGATCCTTTTAATTTATTTAAACTTTAATACAATTCATTTTAAAAATTTTCAATTTTTTTTAAAATATAATGAATGTTTTTATAATTTAATTATATTCCGATGAAAAATCTATAAAGTTATATCATTATGAATAATTTTAAAAATTCGCTATTTATAATATAAAAATTTTAAAATTTATAATAAAACAGTATAATATGTTTTCCTTACATTATACTATTCTTTATATAATGGACACACTGCATATGTCTTAAAAATGAATTTAGAAAAAAGCAGAATATATAAGTTTAAAAATATATATTTATTAATTTATACTTAATTATATTTTTTTATATAAATGAAAAAGAAATTTATACATTAATATTTTTCATAGAATTAGGTGATTGTCTTAAAAATAATTTTACGTAAATTGTTTTAAATGGTGGCATATACACGATAATTATTCACACACATAAATAACTAAATTTTTTTTTTTTTTTTTATTTTATAAATATTTTTAGATTGTAATTTTAATAGTTGTGTAATATTTCAAAAACAAAAAAACATATATATTTTGCATGTTATCAAATATATATAGTAAGGGTGTTCATAAAAATGTAGAACATCTACATTTAAAAATTTTGCCTATTTTTACATCTTTTTTTTTTTTAAGAAAAAAAAATTTATTTATTATCATTATTTTATATATTTAAAATAAATAAAATAATAATATATAAATATTAAATAATAAAATAAGCAAAAAAAAAAAAAAAAAAAAAAAATTTAAATTAATAATATATAAAAAAGAAAAATTAATAGAATTATAAAAAAAGTGTATGCTATATTAAAAAAGGAAAAATAAAGAATATAAATTATATAAATAGATGAAAAAAATAAAAAAAAATTAAATAAAAATATAAATGTATTTTTTCTCTTTTTTTTTTTTTTTTTCTTTTTAAATATTTATAAAATATTTCTCATTTTATTAACATTCATTGTTTAAGGATTACTTTAATTTTTTAAAAAATAATGAAAATAATAAATATTTTTAATAATTGTTAACAAAATATAAAAATCGATCTATATTATTAACACCACTGTTCTTAATGTTTCTACTACAGTTGTAACTATTATTGTTATATTATTATTATTGTTATAAATGCAATTCTTTTATTCAATCAACATAAATTTATTTTTTTGTAAGTACTACAAAAATATATATATATATATATATATGTATCACCTTTTCTTAAAAATTATTTTACCAATATCCTAAGTATTTCGTAACAATGGCTAATATAACAATTATTATAGGTATATATTTATTATCAATAAAAAACTTATTATAATTACTATTTAATGCTTTTAATTGATTTTTTAAACTTTCATTTTCTTTTTCTAATGCTGCCTTTTGTTTATCAACGAATACACAATAATTTAAAAGCTCATGGTATTTTCGTTGCATACCTGGCAAACCTCCTTTTAAACCTGTTGAAAAAAAAAAAAAAAAAAAAGAAAAGAAATATAATATTTTATTTTGAGAAAAAAGAAGAAAAATAAAAATAAGTTTATATATATATATATATATATGCATACATATATATTTTTATTTTTTATACCTTCACTTAAATTGGTATCCTCTTGATTTATGTTATTATTATCCGTGTAATTTAAATTTTGAGAATTTTTATTATTCATTTCTGTAAGAGGTATATTATTAGAGGGTAAACATGAATGAGTTAATTTATTTGAATTTTCATCATTTAATACTACTATAAGTTTGTGATCTTGTATCTCATTTTTATTAACAGTAACCCAAAATTGTTTATCTACAGTTGTATCATCTTCAACATTCAAACATTGAACTTGAAATTTATCATTGGATATATTATCTTTATCTGATAATGGCTGTAAAATAATTTGAATTTCTACAGTTTCTTTTACATTAATTAATCCAAAAGATGGTCGAACTAAATAATTATTGGGAGCAGTTGTTTTTATTTTAAATGCCACTTTTTTTTCACTTATATTTTCTAATTTCACTATTTGCGTAACGGCTTGAAAATGAACAAGAGGAAATTCTATGTTTTTTTCTGGGATCACTTTTAAAAGTTTCATTTTTTTTCTTTTCCTTTTCTTTTTCCTTTTTATTTTAATTTATTTATTTATTTTTTTTTTTTTTATTTATAATTAATTTCTTTTCTATTAATTTTTTTCTTAAAGAAATATTTATATAACTCTTTTTATTTAAATATATATATTAATATATTTAAATATACCCCATAAATAATATTACTATATTTAATTAAACAATTTAAAGTATTTTACATATATACATATATATAAATATATATATATATATATATATAAAATAAAATTACTGTAATAACTAAAAGAATAATGAATCAATTATAAAATAAAAAAATTATATATATATATATTTTTTTTCTTTATGACATAATTTTAAAACAAAAAATTTTAATATTAAAAAAAAAAAAAAATTACGAATTAAAAAAAAAATTTATAATATTTTAAACATATAAATGAATTTATTTAAATAAAAATTTTTCTCTTATTTGAAAAAAAAATAAAATAAAAATAATAAATTATATAAATATATATATATATTAAAAAAGGGCAAATACACGTAAAAGTATTAAGCACATGAATGTTAAAAAAGGATATGTAAAAAAAAAAATAATACGAAAAAGAAAAAATAAGGAAAAGGGGGAAAAGAGAATAATTAATAAAGAAAAAAAGAAAAGGTAAGAAGGAAAAAGAAAAAAGATAATAAAGAAAAAGAAAAAAAAGGGGAAAAAAGAAAAAGAAAAAAGGAAAAAAAGAAAAAGAAAAAGAAAAAAGGAAAAAAAGAAAAAGAAGAAAAAGAAAAAGAAAAGAAAAAGAAATTATTTTTTTTACAAATTATTTAAGATGTCTTACTTTTTTGTTTTATGCCACTTATTCTTCATATGTACTCCATGAAAAAAAAAAAAATTAATAAAAAAATAAAAGTAAACAATGTTTAAAATAAACCCTGAGACATGTTTTTTAAATCTTTTAAATAATAAAAATAATTTTTCCTTATATTTTTGTAGATTCAATAATAAAAAGAAATAACAGTCATTTACTCTTTTGTTTTTTCTTTTAAGTTTAAAAAAAAAAAATAAAAATTAGCAAAATATATGTGCATGTTCATTTCTATGAATATCTTATAAAATATAAATAATCCAAAGTAACAAAGAAAAAAAAAAAAAAAAAAAAAAAAAAAAAAGGAAGTGATCTACAATAGTAAAAATAATTTATGTGTATAATTTGTATGATAAAATAATACAAAAACTTAATTCCTTCTACTGAATTTTTATTTTAATAATTCTTTCTCTTTTTTATTATCATTTGTGTGTTAATTAAAATGTATCTTTAATAAAGAAATATATAATAAGAAAACTTATATAATTTATTATAAAAAGAAAAAAAATATATATTTAAAAATTAATAAGGAAATTATATTATAAATTTATTTAAATTATAAGAAACTAAAAAGAAAAAGAAAAAAAAAGAGGTAAATTAAATAAAAATAGGTATACATAAAATAATTTATAGAAAAATTTAATAGAATTTAGGAAACATACATATATAAGTAATAATAATGGTTTTGAGAGGAAATGATTTATGAAAACAATAATTTAAACTTACAAAAAATTGGGACTGAAAGCTGAAAAAAAAAGGAAATAAGAAAAATAAGAAATCATACTATTATATTTTCATATATCAAGATTGTAATTACTTTATTGTTGTATGTTTTATTTAATATATAAAGTTATTTTCGTAATTTAAAGATATAATGTAGGGTGTATATAATTTTTTATTTTCTTTTATAATTTTTTCCTAATTACTGTAAATAAAAAAAATATATATACATAGTCGTAAGCACGTAAATTATTCTTTTTGTTAATTTTATTAAGAAGATTTTTTTTATTATTTCCTTATTTCTTTAATTTATTTTTCTTTTTAATTTTTTTTTTTTTTTTTTTTTTATATATGTACATTTTTAACAAATTAATTTTTATTTAAAAAAAAAAGAGAAAGTTGTATATGAAAATATTCGTAATGTAAAAATAAATTATATTGCAATATCATCATTATTTACAATGTTTCTAGTGTAAAAATATTTATATTATGAAAAGTTTATTTTCTCTTTTATTAAATATATATATTGAAATTGTTAGAAGAATAATGATATAAATTCTTCACAAAAAATATTATTTATATGTAGAGATATTGTATTTATTTCAATGAACTAAAAAAAAATTAGTAAGAGTTAAAAGGAGTTATAAATCTTTTAAAGTTGCAGAATTTTATTAAACATATGTGTATCACTTTTTAGTTTTTTATATATTTTCTAAAAGCTATCAATTAGATAAATTCATTAAGAATAATATCATAAATCTATTTATATTTATTTTAGAAAAAAAAAAAAAAATTCTAGATTTGTTTACAAGTCATTTATATTAAAATATATGAAATTGTATTAAATGACTAATACGAATTCCAAATATTCATTTAAAAAAATGCTATTACATTTAAAATTTTTTTTATTAAAATAAAAAGAGTTACTAAAATATGAGTATCATGAATTCATCTAAAACTAAAGTACAGAAAACAACTTACGAGGCAGCTAGCAGTAAATTGTTACTTTAAAAAAAAAAAAAAAAAAAAATGAAAAAAAACGATTTAAAATTTTTAGTGAATAATATATATTTTTATTTATAATTTTTTCGTAAATTTCCCATTATTAGATCTGCAGTTCAATTAGGTTATTATTATGATCCTTTTTTGAAGTATTTTGTTAAAAAAATAGAAAAAAGAAGTCCATTAATAAATAGAGGTTTACACATAGAACAATTTTATTAATAAAAACATTTGAAAAATCATTCACATGTATATATATATTTAAATTTATTATTACTATTTATAATTTTAATGTAGTTAATTTAAATTCTATTTTTATTTTAAGGATTCATATAGTTATTTTATTTTATTTTATTTTTTTTTTTTTTTGATAAAAGGTTATTATTCTAGAGTTGTAGCATTAAGGCAATATATTGAACTTTTTATGAAATCATTAGATAATGTAATTATAGAGAAAGCAATTATCTCTATAAAAATATTAAAACTTTCTTTAATTATATCATAAATATATGTACCATGTATGTATTTTTTTTTTTTTTTTTTTTTTTTTTGTAGACAAATTACATTCAAATAGTAAACATTGGAGCTGGTTTAGACACTACATTTTTTTGGCTATCTGTAAAAAAATACCATAAAAAAAAATAAATAATTTTTAAAAAAAAATTTCATGAAATAAAGTTAATTTTGTTTTTTATTTATAAATAGGAAAGATATAAAAATGTTAAATATTATGAGATAGATTTTAACGAGATATTATCTGAAAAAACGCGTATAATAAATGATGTTACATTATTGAAAAATTTTTTAATATATGATGAAAACATTGAAGAAGAAAAAAAAGATTTCATTAATTGTGTAAATTACAAAATGCTTTATTCTGATTTAAATGATTGGAATTCTTTTGAAAAAAACTTACAAAACAATTCTTTTGATTTTAATTTACCTACTCTTTTTATATGTGAATGTGTTCTTATATATTTAGAAATAGAAAGTAGCGATATTTTAATAAAAAAATTAAGCGAACTTATGAAAAATACTTCTTGTATAATTGTATATGAGCAAGTAAATTCTTTTTTTTTTTTTTTTTTAAGTTTTTTCTATTTTAATTTATTTTAATTGAAGAATATATAATTTTTTTTTTTTTTTTTTTTTCTCCCCTTTTTAAGGTTAATCCAAACACAGCATTTGGTAAAATTATGATTGACAATTTTTGTTCTAGAGGTATAAGCCTAAAAAGTATTTATAAATACAATAATTTAGACTTACAATTAAAGAGATTTAAATCATTAGGTTGGTCTAATGTGTATATAAACGACATGAATGAAATATATGATTATCATATATGTAATGAAGAAAAAAAGAAAATTGAAAAAATTGAAATGTTTGATGAGTTTGAAGAATGGCGTTTGTTGCAAAATCATTATTTCATGCTTGTTGCATTTAATTGTTACAATGATTTAAATCTAAAATATTTAGAAGATTTTTTTAAAAAAAAAAAAAAGAAATTATAAAAAAATATATTATCTACAAAATATTAACATACAATTTTTTTTAAAATTATATTAATTCTAAAAATAAAGTGTTTTTGTTCTTTATTTTTTTCATTTGAAATAAATATATATATATATATATTTCATATATGATAAATTTTTTTATTATTAATATTAAATATGATTATAAAAATTCATATTAATTTTTTATTAAACTGGCAATAATATACTCCACATTATTAAAATGTGCAATAATAGATAGTACAAAAAAAAAAAAAAAATAAAATAAAATAAAATAAATATCAATTACTTAAATTTATATATATATATATATACAAAACTGTTATTAATAAAAAAAATAAAATAAGCATAATAAAAAAATATTAATTGTAAAGCTTTGTATTTTTTTCTTTTTTTTATTATTTCATAATGAAAAAAAGTTATCTAAATTTTATTTTATAAAAAAAATTATTTGAACAATGTATAATTTAAGCAATATCTCAAAAAAAAAAGAAATATATATAAAATTGTGCATAGAAAAAAAAAAAAAAAAAATGTAAAAAAAGAAAAAAAAAAAATTTATTAGTATATAATTATTGTTTTTTTTTTTTTTTTTTTTTAATTGTAAAGTAAAATTATCTTGAATTTTTTATAAATTATGGTATAGCTATTTTTTTTATATGAATTTTTTTTATTAAAAATGTTTATATTTGAAAATGCGCAACACTATTTTAATTTTTTTCGTAATTTTAATGGATGTTATACAGATAATAAGTTATTAAGATATTTTTTTAAAAAAAGTTATAATAATTGGTTTAATGATCCAAGCCAATATAATTATTATTTTATTTCATACTATGCAGTAGCAATATCCATATCAGTTTTATTACGACATTTGTTATTTAATCCTGATGTACATTTTAGAAGGCAAGATAAAAGAAGAAATATAATAGATAGATATCAGCATCATGCATATTCGCTACCTTATTTTAATCATTGGTTAAGAAATTTTAGTCAATCCTTTAAAAGTGCACTTATTGATAATGAGCCAGATTATCAAGATGTAGATCCATGGTGTTTTAGACCCAAAAGAACTCCATTTTATGGAAGATTCCCATTTTTTCTTGAAGTTCCAAAATATAATGTTGATAATCCTAATTACGAAAAAAATTCTCATAGTTATATGCAAAAATACTATGAAAGTATTGGATATATTCCTCAAAGTGAACAAAAAGAAGATTAAGGAAAAAAATTATAATAATAAATTATAAAGATATCAATTTATACTAATTAGTTACTCATAAAATATAAAATGTTATATTACTATAAAACAATATTTTTTATTCATTTTTGCATATACTTGTATAATATGAATTAAAATTTATTTAAAGTTAGCATATCCGATTTTATATTATTGTTTTTTTTTTTTCTTTCTTTTTTTTTTTCTTGTCAATCAAATTTTTATTTGACTTGAATTCATAAAAATATGTAATATCTACAACTTTTTAACGATAATATATAAAATTACTTTTATATAATTTATAGAAAGCTCCTATAACATTTATCATTCTCTAAATGAAATGTATTGAAGTAAATACTTATTAAAAAGATATTTTTTTTTTTTTTAAAGTTCATATTTAAAGAAATTTATAATGGAAATGTGTTAATTCATATAAAAAAAGTTTAAAAATACATATAAAAAACTTAATGGAAGGGTTGAAAAAAAGCATATTCAAAAAAACTTTTTTACTTGCTGCTTCCCGCTTTGCATTTTTTTCTTTATTTTAATAAACAATTTAAAAATTTGAGAAGAATGAATTTATATTTTATAATTTAAAAATTAACAAGTGAAATATATGAAGTACAACAACAAAAAAAAAAAAAAAAAAAAAGAAATATATATTTTATAAAATATGTATTTTTTATAAGAAATAATTCTTTCTTGAGTATTTTGCACAAATGTTGAAACCAAAATATTATATGTTAGAAAAAGAAAAAAAAAAAAAAAAAAAAAACAATAAATTTTAATCATAAAAATAAAATAAAAGATAAATATTAAACTTATTTTAAATGATGACTTAATCTAAATTGCTTTACTTTCTCCTAATAATTAACATTTATAAAAAAAAAAAAGAAAATTAACAGTTTAGGATTAAGCATTTATATAATTATATTCAAAAAATATATGTATAATAATATTTCAACAAATAATTTAATGTTGTGTTTTACACAAATTTTAAAAATTTTCTGTTAAAGTTTCATTCATGATCTAAAAAAAAAAAAAAAAAAAAAAGTGAAAATAATGTTTTACATTATATGTAAATATATTTATAATAAAAATATATCTTTCTTTCTCATTATCTATATGTCTGTAAGTATGTATATATATATATATATATATATATATATTCTTTTCTTTTTTCTTACTTTATTGTTATGATATTGTTTCGGATTAAAATTACATAAATAATTATTATCCGGTATAACATATTGATGATGAGAAGGAAGAGACAAACTTTGGGAGTTAGAATTAATATACATATTGGAAGGAATATTAACTTTCAAATTTTGCTGCAAATTTGGTTTCATATTGGATATAATATTGCTTAAATGAGTGTGTACAATGTTATTATCTAAATTTTGATTAATTACATTTATAGATGGATTTTTCGTCATATTATTATCTGAATTGTTCATTATATCGTTTAAAATATTATCATTTAAACTATTTAATGTAGTATCATTCATTAAGGAATTTAACTGTTTATTCATAGAATTTGCCATTTGATTATTTGGTTGAATAACCATTTGATTATTAAATTGATTTTTTAATTGATTATTTATTTTATTATTTAAATGATCATTTATGTGGTTATTTAATGAATTATTCATATGGCTATTCATTGTGCTATTATTACTTAAATGATTATTATTTATGCGATTATTATTTGATTGTACATTATCTAATTTAGAATTATTACTATTATTATTATTATTAGAATTCTTATTATTAAGTTTAAAATAGTTACTTAATAGGTCTTTATTTAATTCTACACTTGATTTATTAGATATGGAATTTATTATATCATTTTTTAAATTTCCTTGTATAGTATTAGTAATAGTACTAAAATCATTTAAAATAATATTATTTTGCTTAATAATAGTATTTTGTGAATTTTTACTTTGGTTAAAATTATTTTTCATTTCATTCGAAACCTTACGAGCTAAATTCCCTGATAACTCATTACCCACATTATTTTTCAAATCGATAGAAGAACAAGAAGATGTGTTTCTTGAACTTCCATCGTTTAAATTATTGTTTGATAAATTTTTAATTAAATTATTATTTATTTTCTTATTTCCATTTTGATAATTATATAAATAACTCTGTTGTGATTTTATATCATTTACTGATTTATCTTCTGGTTTTATTGATGAATATCCCTGAAAACTGGAATTCATATCATAAATATGCATATCTTGTATTGACTGATGACCTTGATGCAATTTTTGCTTTTTTATGTCATTATTTATTCCATTGTGTAAAGGTGGCAAATGTATACTTGAGTTTATATTGGAAGAAATATTATGATTTTGTATGGGAATGTTTGAGTGCAATGGATATGAAAAATTACTTCTTAATTGTTGAATGTGTTGAACTGGAATACGAGAATTAATAAAATCATTATTTTGCATATTATTCTGAATATTACTAGAGGTATTTGCTTGAATATTATGATGTATGTCATTATTATTATTATTATTATTATTATTGGAATCATTTAATATATTATTAAAATGATCCTGCTTATATTGTCTTGGTTTATTATTAATTGGATAGTTATTTAAATTGATATTATCCATGTTATTATTAATAAAATGTTCACCTGTTGAAATATTATTATTATTATTATTAGAATTAGAATTTTCTTTACCAAAATATCTATTTTGATTTAAATTCAAAAATAAATTATTTGGTAGATTGAGAGAAGGATTTAACGCAGTATCATTATTATTAGTTTTATAAATAGAATTTATGTCATTTGTATTATTATTATTATTATTATTATTATTATTATTATTATTATTAAAATTGTTACTAATTTGTGTATTCATAGTATTTTTATCATTACATGAAGAATAAAAACTATAATATTGTTGCATCATATCATAATTTGAAAGGTGATTGCTTTTTTCAGTATTCTCTTTAATATTTAAATTAACATATTTCATTCTGTCTTCCAATGGTATTAAATCTATTAAAAAATCAAATGTATCATTTTTACAAGCAGCTGATACTACATCTTGTCTTTGTAAAGTTCTTCTTTTACCTTCCTCTGTGTGCTTCCATGCATAATTTGTTAACTCCATTATAAATAATTCGCATGCTTTTGCTAATAATACAGGAGTATCTGCAGAAACCATTTGATTACTTTTTATCTCATCATCTTCTTTCATAATTTTTTTAATTCTAGATATAGGCAAATGGTGTATTTTCAATTCTTCTGGACTCATATTTGATATTTCATTAATCTGATTTTTCCAAAAATTATCATTTTCATTATTTTTTGTACTTTTAATATTCATATCTATATAAACTAGAGTTAGAAAAAAAAATTCATTAAAAAAGAAGTATAGGAAGTAGTACACTTAAAAAATGAGAAAAACTAGAAAAACAATATAATAACGTAATACTAATAAAAAAACATAATACTTATAAAAATATTAAAATATTTACAAAGTTTTAATTCAATATTATAATTTTATATTTATAAAAGAAAAAACAAAAAATACTTTATTCATATACCAGTTTTTATATTATATTCTATTAATAACAAATAGTGATATAATGCTAAGACTTTTATTATATTTTTATTTAAGCAAAAAGAATGATGAAACAAAATAAAATATGAATTAATGCAAATCAATTATTTTCCCAAAAAAAAAAAAAAATTTATTTTATATGCATAAAAATAATATATATATATATATATATATATATATATATATATATATTCATATATTATACTTTTTACAATTGTAAAAATAATATATATATATATAGTATTTCTTATATAGCTCGTATTTCACTTAGTAAAACAAATTTTTTTTTTTTTTTTGAATTATTTAAGAATTACTAATTGTTATTTATGTATCAAAATTATTTTCATATTTTTATTTTTTAAATATATTTGTTTATCTTATATTTATATAGATTTTACTTTATTATTCATTTTTTTTTTTTTTTTTTCTTGTATTATATAAATATATATATATGTATATATATATATATTCTTACGAGAATTATTATTATAATCTATTAAAATTGACAAATCTAATATTTTTATTTGTTTTATAGTATTACACAAAGTCTAATAGAATCATTCAAATCAAAAAATAAAATTTTATTAATACACGTAAAAAAAAAAAAGTTATAGTATAATTTCATATAAATTTTTATGCTATAATGTGCTTTTAAAAATTACTTATATTAATTATATAAAATTAAACTAATTTATATTAAATTTTTTTATTCCTTTTTTCTTAGTTCTTAAAAGTTGTGCACGGATATTAAAAAATAATATGAAGGAAAAAGAAAATTTTTTTTTTATACACTTCTAAATATAAAAACAATTAGAACTTAATTATAAACTACGTTTTAAAGTTATATATTTTTTAAAAAAAATTTGCAATAAATAAAATATACATGTATATAGCATTTTAAATATATATATATATATATATATGTCCTTTTTTTTTTTTTTT